AATAGAAACCGATACGACTTGGGGCCTTCAAGAAGTATTTTCGTTCCTTAACGGCCAGAACGCATTTGAGACTCCTCTGGAGTCGCGGGTGTCTGTGAGCGGAGGTAAACACTGACCATTAAGTGGTTTGCCTGCTCGTTTGCCTTCTTTTCCATAAAAATAAAAAAATAAAGGCATCAAACGCAGGTCAGATGCTGATGCCAATAAACTCGTACGGATTTTTGACCCCGTTCATCGCATCGTTCTGTGTTTGTAATAAAAGGAACAGATAAACTCTGCTGCGTTCCATACTTTGGGTATCTTATGTGGGTTCAATAATGTACAAATGTTACATCAATAAATAAACTTGCTAATTCCTACAAACAATGTGAAGGTATATTCCTAGTTTTTTTTTAAATTTGTGCAAGTAGCAGCCATCTCTTATTTTTGGTGTTGGGATCTCAAAATTTAAAGTATGTTTGTAATTTTATTGAATAAAGCTACAACGTTTCAATTAAAATCAGCCAATTTGTTAAACAGTTTTTTCATTTTTATACCAAGTCGGGGCTTGTAGATGATCTAAGTTACCTCTAAATATAATGGCACCGAGGAGACAATGGGTTTGACCATCCTAGTATATCAGTATCGCTGTGTTAGGTTTTAGTAGGTCTGTTATAATCTGTCTCACAGTCCGATACCCAAAACAGCATTTCACCACAGAAAAAAAACTTCCAGTGTCAAGTTGTTTGGAAAGTTTGTAAATTTAACACTAGAGTAAGAGCTACACGTAGTACGTATAAGCTTTCACGCAAAAACCACTCAACCGACTATCATGAAGCTTCGGTTTTTGGGTCTTACAACTGTGGTTTTTTCTCAGGTTTTAACGCCCTGTATCTAAATTGAAGATCACTTTTTAAAACATTTGCAATGAATGAACAATTTAGTACGTGGGCACCACGAAATTTGGTATTGTCCATTTTAAAATATTACAAACCTACCATTATCGTGGAGTTAGTTTTGAAGCGTCTACTACATATTGCGACAGTAGACCAAATATGTACTTATTGTATTCATGCATCATGCTTTTTATATTAACTTTGCAACATGTGTGCTTTTGAAATTACTCTTGTGTTCAGGACATCCGCTGGAGGTGATAATCACCACGTGAGTGAGAGTACCGTCAAGTGTCATTAAACACCTCTATAGAGTGCAAGGTCAAATAAAAGAATATTACATTTAACATTCAACATTCATAAGAAACACAATCAAAGTCAAAGTCAAAGTATCTTTATTCAATGTAGGCTTAACTTAAGCTCTTATTGAACGTCAACAAAAAATCTACCACCGGTCCACTAAACTAGACCTGCACAGAGAAGAACCGGCAAGGAACTCTGCGGTCTTGTTCTTGTTATTATTATTTTTTGATGCAATTATAAAAACTTATTTAGGTATAAAATCAGCAGCAGCCAGGGGTCTTGCAAGTGCAGAGCAAAAGTCATTTCAGCACATCCTTGTCCCCAATGTATTCTTGGACATTATAGTAGGCCCTTGCCATTAAGGTAGCTTTTACAAATTGTTTGAAATTGTTTATACTTAGTTGTTTGTTGATGTCACCTATTTTATTATAAAAGTTGATGCATCTACCAAGAAACGACTTTCTGGTTTTAGCCAATCTAAACCTCGGTACTTCCAGAGTGTCACCACGGCCCCGACGCGATGTGAATTGTTATTTCGTAAATAGGATGGATATTATTACATACACACATGATGTTCTCAAGTATGTAAAGCGACGGGAGCGTTAAAACGTTTATTTGCTTAAATATATGCCGTAGTGACTCACGTGGACCCAAGCCATAGACAGCCCGTATTTCGCCGCTTTCACAACGCTTTAAGGATATTCAATATTTCAGAATTACTTTTCTCTCTAAATAATTCCTAAATAAATGTAGACAATCTTCTACACGAAATATTCGCAATTTTTCATGTCAGTATATTAAATTATCGATTAATAGAAACAATCGTGGATCCCTAGCCATAAATAAGTACTGCTTCCTTTAAAATTGCTCCATATTTATTAACTTTAGAGAAGTGCAACAATACCTCAAAATGTATGTGATCAAGTCTCTGTGTTATCACCATCATCACGATATATAAAAAACTAATCGAACTAGGTAACTTATAATTTCAGAGACTATTTGGTCAATTCATCATACCTTATCGCAAACCCCTTATCACAAAGACACGTACTTTCATTTCGTAATGATTAGTAACGCTGTTATCGATTAAATGCATTTTATATCATGCATAAAAAATGCCACAAAAAGTCATCAATTAATTTGTTATTTCATATTATTTGATAAGGTGTTTGCTATTGACGGATCTGAATTCAAACATAACGTTCGTGCAACATATTGAATGCATTTATATAAAATTACAGTTTACAAAATTGCCAATAGCGCTTGTTCATTTAAACCATTATTTTAATAACGAGTAAAATTGACTAATAAACGATAAAAGGATAATGTAGAATCTGGTTTGATAAACTAGTATGTACTACAAACTTCATATTTGAGTAATGATTATTTTAACGAGGCCAAAAGTATCCACAAAAAATATATTTTTATTTCGAACTTAAAATGTAGTGATGAAAGAAAAACAATTTTCGTAATATTTGAATTGAAATAAAAAATGTATTAGATACATAAAAACGAAGTTTGGTGAAAACGCTAATATTTTTGATTGAAAATTACATGATTATCACAAGAAATTGCGTTGAGTTGAAATTCAATTTAACATGATTATTATAATAAATACAAAAAATGTTTATAAATTATTTTCTAAGGCCACTTGGTATTTATGTTGTAGGTAATTTATGGCTAATTTGGATTCACCGTCTGCTGACAGACGGAGCAAGGTTCACAAGGAGGGCATGGAACAGAACATACTTTGCAAGAGTGCAGATAATATTCGTCTCCCACTGCGTAGCATCGGCCGAGGTTTAACATATCCTCGAGGTCACATCTGGAGAGATAATAAATAAAAGAATAAACCTTTAAAAATGTTTTCATGCAGATTTTTAACTGTGGTAGGAACACGCAGCAGCCTCGGTTGTTGCACGAATGGGCAGGCTCGTCTGGGTAAGTACCACGACCTCAAAGAAGACCGGCGTTAAGTGGAAGTATAATACTTTCGCGTTTTGTCTGGTGAGTGAAGTACCCGGAGCCCAATTTTCAAAAGGTTGTCAACGCATCTGCATCCCTCGGGTGTAACTGATGTCCATGGGCGGATACATGAAAAAAGAAATACTTGAAGTAATAAAAATACATTTATTGTCAAAACATTTGCTAGGGCATTAAATGTATTTATACTGAGGTATAACAATCATTTGTTGTTATACCTTTGGACAACATAGTGTCGTACAATAATAGTGTGCACACCACACTAAGCAAGCCTTTAACACCAAGAAAAATAATTTGATTCACTTGTTACTTCAAAACTGTAGAAGAATTAGATTTTACCCAATGCTTGTTTTTAATGTGAGAAGGTGGCAGGCGTGCTTGCGGTTAACCTGATAACCGCCGCCTGTGGACATTTACAACACCCGTAGGCTTGCAGATGCATGACCACCTTTTAATAAGGTGCTCCCTGTGTACCTCACTCACTAGACGAAACGCAGTAGAATGACAATTCCACTTTAGGCTGGTCTTCTGCAAGGTCGTGGTACTTACCCGGACGGTCCTGCCCATTCGTGCAACAGCCGTAGCTGTTGCGTGGCCCTATCACAGTAAAAACTTGATGATAGGAATTACCTTGTTAAGCGAATATGCTTTATGGCGTAACTTTCGTGTCTTCTATTACATCAAATGCATAGTGCATCACTACATTGTATATAAAACCGTTTAAAAACTTTAAAGCTAAACGGTTTTATTTTAGGTGCACTTAAAACTACAATATTGTATTGTCATCTAAATTAAATGTGTGTACCAAATTTCAGATCAATCTGACAACGGGAAGGTGCTTAAATTTCAATTTCTAATTTTTACCCAAATAAATAAACAAAAAAATTCCGTACGGGTCGAGCTAAATAAAACCGTTTAAAAACAGAGCCTTCCCGCTGTCTGTCTGTCCCTATATTATTATATGCTTAAATCTTTAAAACTACGCAACGGATTTTGATGCGGTTTTCTTTAATAGATAGAGTGATTCAAGTTAGTACAATTCATGCTAATATAATAGAGAAACACTGATAATTTTAGAGGTTTCTAATGCGATGTCGAAAACAAACATTCAGAATTGCACCCGTGCAAAGCCGGGGCGGGTCGCTAGTTACCAAATACAATTGTCGGACAACTGTGGCAAACTCATTGGGCTCTTTGCCATGAATGAAACTTACGCTAGTATTGTGCCTGAATAGATCTAAGTCTATTAAAGGACATCTGGAATTTTGCAACCAAACGCCATTCATCCAAACGCCAACGCATCTAAATATTTACTATGGCAAGGAGGTTACATCAGAATATATGTTGTTTTTGATACTAAATAACAACTTATTCAGACAAATTTAAGAAAATGTGTGATACCTAAGAATACTCAGATGTCTGGTTTAAGGGTCTTACTAGTAAATTTTTCCTTATTAAGAATTCATGCTTGATGCACCAAAATAATTATTTTAAAATTACGAACCGTAATTAACACAACTATTGGTTAGCCAGCCTTAAGATACGATGTCATTGATATCTATAATAATTTTATATTTTTTTCCAAACGACCCCAAAAGGAGAACTTCAGAAATTTTCTTTAATTTATCATGAGCATTAGGTACATACTATTTTCCTTGTATGACAAATTCAAACCTCTGCCCTCTGTTTTATTTTTAGATAACAACAATACAGTTCTCGATGGTTCCTGTTATTTAACATTCGTTGCAGGTCAAAAAACCAGTTAGCTATAAATTAACTGTAAGTTAGTCTGCGGGGACTGGTTCTATGTTTAATCATAATTATTCATTCATTCCTCTATCACCAATTGACAAGTGAATGCGCATACTTGCTCTCTTCCAGTAGTTTCGTTTCCGCCTCATTGAGCGTAGGAACGGCGTATTCAACAATGCCACCTTTTCCAATACTAACGGGCGTGGCACAGATGGGCATATCGTAGCACTTTTTGGGATGCGCTTGCTCCACTAAAGCGCTATCGATAAATGTTGTTTTCTCAAACAGACCTGGACATTAAAATGTGAAGTTGGAAGAAAGTTAGACGAGCATATGTATAAAATCATTGTAACATTGTTTAAAAATTTCTAATCAAAACCCATCATTTTCTCCCTTATCCTCTCCTACTAGATCTCCGTTACTATGCCGAAAACATCAATTTGTAAATGGCTCTGTTTATGAGCATACAACTTGATGGATCTAAACTTTTTGTTATATCGAGCCATATTAATATTATCAATAATGTACTTCATGTGATACATTTGAATATCTATACATTTAAGAGAAACAAAACAATGAACGTTTTATTAATTATCAGGATACACAGTGCCGATTACACAGACTCCATCGAAGCATATCGCTACTTGCAGTATGTCATTCGTTAAAAGAAGATTACCTTGCATTATACTGGTCACAAATCTAGCTGTAGAGAAGCCGATTGAAAGATGCCCTTGCTCTTCGTTACATTTGACCTTGCAAATAATTTCGTCAGCTTCCCTAACTAACTTAGTCAGGCAGTCCACTTGGGTCTTAAAAATAAAAAAAAACAAAAGAATTATTGAATTAATGGATAAAAATTCGCAAATATCAAACTGTTCTAGCCGGGCAAAGGCCTCCTTTGTACAGAGGGTATCCAGGCATAACAACCACACGACCCCACTGCGGATTCGTGGACTTCACACCTTCGAAATATTTTTTTTTATTTCTGTTGTTATTATTTCGAAGACATGCAGTTTTGCAGGCCTCACGATTTTTTCTTTCACCGCTCATAAATAAGCACTTAAAATTAACAATTTCATTGATTCCACATAGGTACTCGAACTCAGGTTGCTCGAGTACCTATGTGGAAGGAGCGCCCGGACAATGAGCTGTCATAAATGTCAAATACATAACTTAATACTTAATTTTACTGGACCATTCATGTGAAACGACGAATAGTTAGCCATATCTAAATAATTTAAGGGGCCGCCCCTTTACCCCAATTAGGCCATTAAACCCCCCCCCCCTACCCCCTTGGCGGTACGTGGTGAGGTTTAAGAATATTTTTATAATTAATTAAAGCTAAGTTATTATTTCCCTCAAGAGATCCACAGATCTGCTATTATCCAATCCAAACCCAACCCCGATGTAATTTTTATCACATGGAATTATCTTACAGAAAATATAACAAAGAACACTCAATACGATTTTCTAGCTTTGGTTTATTGCACTGTTCAATAGCAATCATCGAATATAATACGATGTGTTATTTGATGGAAATTTACCCTCGCTAATCTCTTTTTTAATCTACTTCAAAAACGGAAGTTGAGGTAATTTGGTTGTTTTTTTTTTGTTCATTTATATGTTCATTATCTTAGAAATCCGTCTTTATGAATCGATTTCAAAAATTATTATTGCATTGGGTTCGATTTATTTCAAGTGCGGAATACTAATTTCATTGGTATTTGAGATTGGACTCCGTAAGTACATCTATCTCCTATACTCCTCAAAATCAAATAGAAAATGTATAGCGAGTGACATATCTGAAGTTGGCTATGTTTTTCGTAAATAAAAATGTTAAACTTGTTTTTACTGAAACACAGATAAAATCGGTAGTAGATAAATTATATCGCATGTCCTTCGGATTCACCCCAATAGCGACGCGCCAACATCAAGGTCGTATGAAGAGCGCAAAAACAATAACAATGCACCGACCAATTGTACGGAGTATTATTTTTAAATTTTGACTTAATTCCAACGAAAACAAGGTTATCAGTTACACGTCGCTGATTGCATGTTTTTTTCTCGCAATAAACAAATTCAGCTTACCAGTTTAAAACAACATTACAACAGATTACATTAAAATAAGACGAAGAAAATAACGCACAACAAAGTCAACGTACATTAAAGTACATAAATGAAATATCATTGAACCTTTAAAAGTCTTTGTAAATAAGGTTAGAATTAAATTATGGTAAAGTGCTGCTTCAAGATAATTATATAGCCGGTATTAATTTAACGTATTTTCGAATCCTGGGACCTTTTAAAATACCAAGGACACTTATGGAGTGGATCGAAATACATAATTATTTTTGTATCAAATCAAATCAATGGACGATGTCCGCAGATTCTTGAGTAACAATAAATCAGAAACGAGCGCCCGAACACTGAGCGATAGAACACATTTTAGTTCCAAGATGGACTAGAAGAGCGCATGGGAAAAAAATAAGCTCTCATCACATGGTGAGAGTAAAGTAGAAAAGCTCGTTTGAATCGAATTTCCACTCGATCCAAATGGCTAGTGTAGTGAACTCATCGCCAAAAACGTTGCATTTTCCGAGAAGCGAAAGTATACAATTGCAATACAGTTTTTAGGGGCGAGATAGCTACTGCATGTAGAAAGCAGATTATAGAACTACTTTTGCAACGCTCGATGCGGGATAAGATTATTCGATATGTTTTACACTAACTGAAGCCCGCGGCATTGCACGTAAATAGATCCAATTGCAATTTTAGTGCACATTTGCTATTTCTATAAAATGACAAAAGCGTGAGCAAATAAACAAAACAAAACACCTTGGAGTTTGCTCTATGTCTGAAGAGAGCGTCGTCAATTCTATCAGTTCTAATAAAATATAAGAAAATAGAAGTCACCATGGAAACAAATACTAACTCTGGTGGGACCACGCGACATTCTTCGCTGTTGTACAAATGGACAGGTCCGTCCGAGTAAGTACCACGATCACACAGAAGACCGGCGAAAAGTGAAAGCCTTATACTTCTGCGTTCCGTCCAGTGAATGAGATAGCCGGGGCACACTTTATTCAAAGGTGGAAACGCATATGCACCTACGGGTGTTAGAAATGTCAATGGGCGGATATTTTCACTTAACATCAGGTGAACCGACAGCCGGTTTGCCACCTTCTCAAATAAAAACTTTACATATAAACATTTAATTAGCAAGACAATTAAGTCGAAATATCAAAGAATGTCTGAACAACAATGATTCTTAACAGTCGTCTTTAATCGAAATTACTCGAAAATCGTATGACATAAGGCACATCTGAACTGTTGATGTAAAAATATTACTCTTACTATCAACAGTAGCTTAAGATGTACATTCCAAGTGAGTACTACAGTGAGGCAAAAAGAATCGGTGTAGGTAATAAATAAATGACAATCACAGTCGTAAAAAATAAAATAACAGCCCACTCAATACATTAATAAAGTGTATTTGGGCATAAACTACCACGCGAACCCACCGCTGAGTGGGGCTTAAATATTATTATTTCCAAACCATACAGGATTCCTCACGATGTTTTTCTTCTCGATGAGTACGTGATAAATTGGCACTTTGCCGGCACCGGGATTAGAACGGCACGCTCTTTAAAAAAAAAGTTTAAAAACTTTTTGGAAGAGACTTCTGTCGACCAGTTTTCAAAAAAATATGTTAATCAGTTAACCGATCCATACCTCGTAATTACTTGTGCCCCGTGCATGTATTCTCCGGCCTCTTTTAAATAAAAGTACCTGGAGGAGCTTTGCTCGGTTTGTTTTTTTTTTTTTTTTTGGTAAATCGTCTATTTTGGAAATTACATTTAGATACAAATTACTAAGTAATGAAATATGCATAATATGTTTCGATCTTACCGACGTAATAATAAGAAAATATAAACTGGTGTTTTTCACAAAAGAAAGAACTTTAAAAAAAAGGGAAAAAAGTAACAATATAACAAATCGACAAAAAATAAAAGATAAAGAAAGCAATGATCTGGAATCGAAAAAAAAGTAAAAAAATAAGTGTGTAAATGATCGTGATACGAACCACGGCCTTCTGTTTCGTGGCTGTTTGTTAGCGGCCGCCCGATTACCGACCGAGCTATTATAACATTTTTTTTTTCGGTGAAATTTACTCTGAAATTTACGTGGTATTCGAATAATATTTTTCATTCCTTGAAAACTGGGATAAAACGACATTTTCTAAAAATGAAACGTAGTCAGATCAATTTTTCGCCCCCGAATCTACGCATATACTAAATTTCATGAAAATCGCTGGAGCCGTTTTCGAGATTCCAATTATATATATATATATATACAAGAATTGCTCGTTTAAAGGATAAGAGATTTATTACCCACAAAAAACCCCCGTGATTGTTCATTTATCATAATATTTTCCATTCAAGTTCCCTTCCGTTTTAATATGCCGATCAGCTTTACAGAATCTTTTTTTATTTTTTTTTTTAATTAAGCACATAACCAAGATTTTTTTATTGTAATAGCAAAATATTAACTTTGAGCCAAAGTAGTATCCTCTCATATAGTGCTTTACTTGTGTTTTATTTTTATTATTATTCGCCTTATTATTGAATTATTTATATAATATACGATTTTCATTAAATGATGACTGCGATAAATAGATAATTGTTATCTCTATTAATGACAAAATAAGAGCAGATGTGGGAACTGAAAAGAAAAGAACTTCAGTAGCAAGGAGATCCATGATATTTCTTTACTACTTTTATATAACGAGTCTTGAATAACAACGCATAAGCAGTTTTATTGCATCACATCAAATACCAATTTCAATTTATATTAAATCATCAAAAGCCACAGGAAGAAAATCAAGCCAGCCACTCCTTGCCACTGACAAATGCAACGCAGTTGGATAGGTACAATGAAAGACATGTGAAACATTGTATAATGTGTTAGTGCGTAAAATGTTATCTGAAAAACATCTGATATGAGGCGGTTTATATTACTTTAGAGTTCAGCTCCGTTGTAAATCATGGAACAGTCATCCATTATAAATCCCAATAATAATTGCCTCATTCCCAAATTCAATCCTCTCCAGGAGGAAACAGTATGAGTGATAAATATTTTAAGACCTCGCCTCGCCTTTAAGATCTTGTTACGGCTCAGAACTGTCTTGCATTAGTGCCCACCAGATTTAAGAAGAAGAGCACGATTAGCTACTACCTCCGACATTCACTAATTTTAATAAAAAAAACAGAAATATTCACTGCTTTAATTTCATGTTTCAATGGCCCTAATGGCAAGAACAGTCGAAGGTCTAAAGTGCAGTTTTTCATAAACTAACAGTTATAAGTTCGGATGGCACCTACTGTACTGTAGTACAGCTTTCTTTTACACATTGCACCTGTTACCTGGGGAAAGTTTCCAGCTTTACCCTTGGAGAATACCGGCACTCTGGTGCAGCGGCCGGTGCCGCACACCACGGGCATCTGCGAAGTGCTGGGATCCGTGCCAGTGAGAGAGCAGAAGAGCTGGTTGGCACGCATGGAGTTGATAGCGTTAAGGCCCAGAAGACGCCGTTTGTCGTACACTCCAGCGATCTTCAGCGTCTGAACGTACGTAACATAAGCATGGGCATGAGCTATGAGAAGTAGGAAGTGTCGCTTATCGTGCGAGGTGAGAGTTTCTTTTTTATGTGAAAAGTTGCCAAGCGAGCAGGTGGTACTAGACCAGAGTTTGACTTCCGCGTTTCTTCTGGTAAGTGAGGTAACCGAAGACCACTTCATTGAAAAGATGGGGCAACACATCTTCAACGGGTGTTGCAAATGACAATGGGCATCGGTTGTCACTTACGATCAGGTGAACCGCCAGCTCGCTAGCTCTTCACACATTAAAAAAGAAACAAGAAATGGTCCTGTTTCGAAGATCGTCAAACTATCGACAATCCGTTTCCGTCCCGCCGTATTTTATTTCGACTCGCCGTGTGCACAATGTACAAGACGCGTTTATTTACACAACGTACGTACGTGCATGCAGAGGGCGAAATTGCAGTCGACGGGCGGAGTCTGCACCGCCAATACGGCGTACGGGCAAAAGCGTGCGCTAGCAATACTGGCAACGCGCACTCGCTCCATGTTCTTGAAGAACAGCTCCCGGTCCGAGGTGCAGCAGCAGGGCGGCATAGTGAACTGCCCGCCGCATATCAACACCACGTCCGAATCCTGAGGATGGTAGTGGACCATTCCGAAGGTTGTTTTTGAACCGCGGTAAGGCCTAGCAACAGTCAGACGGGCAACCAGCGTAAAGTAATTGTGTCACACTTCTGCGTTTCGTCCGCTGAGTGAAGTAGCCGGGGCCCGCTTTATTTAAAGGTGGCAACGCATTTGTAACCCTACAGATATTGCCAATTTCCATGGGCGGCGGTTATCACTTAAGATCAGGTGAACCGCCACTTTCTCACATAAAAAGGTGGCAACACATTTGCAGTCCTTTCGGTGTTACAAATAGCCATGGGCAAATAGCCGTGGGCGGAGGTTATCTTAACATCAGGTCGCTTACCCTCTTCTTACATAATAAAGTTTTACGTACGAATTAGCAGGAATACTACATACGTAACTATGTCGACCACATAAAATAAGTTGTCAACTGTAGTTACAACAGTATTAACACTTGTACTTTTTTTTTGTATGGTAATTTCTGTTTTCCATAAGTGCACACGCCAGCCTGCTTATAAAAAGCGGAAGCTCTACTCCCAGGGTTGACTAGAAGAGAATGCATACTAGCATTAAGTTTTTAATTGGCCTTAAGTTGAGTTTAAACAAAAAAAAATTAAATAAATAAATAAGCTGCCGCATAACTCTACCGCAATGAATCTTTCGCCTTTTTTGTCACTACCAAGACCACTCATAAAAGCTCTCCCAACTACCCATTAAATACAGCGATATCATTGCGATGAACAATGCCCATCCCATAGTATCAGGTTAATACTATTGTTACGAACACACAAAGAAACTAACGCCATCTAGCGTCAACCAGTAAAACCACTCAACGAACAAAGACAACATAAAACCCCCTACTCAATACTAGATGGCGTTAGAGGAACTACTGTGGAAGTATAGTCTCGAAAACCGGGTACATTCGCGAACTTTCCAGAATCACGATCATGTTCGCGCGTGTCGGGTACGTTCCAGGAAGGAACTTTCTGGATTAGTTTGGGACTCGTCTCGGCCCATATAAAAACCGCAGGAAGGCGAGCGAGGACAGTTCAGTTTGAGCTACCTTCGAGGCGAGTTCGGAGTGAAAACTAGTGATCAAGAGCGAAACCAGTGAAACCTACGACTTGGCTACAACCTAGGACATCGTTAGTGCTTATTGTTTGGACCTAGTGCTTTGTGTTGGACCTAGTGCTAGTGAATAAAGTCTTCAAAAGAGTCAGCAGGTCTTTCTCTCCAAATCCTTCGAACCCTAACACGTAACACTATTTTACCGAGACTACAATCGGTTTTGTAAATGAGTGGTGTATAGCGATTGGGAAGGTCGACACTAGAGTTGTGGTCACTAGTTGGAATCTCGAGTGCAGTTTTTAATTACTATTTTTTCAAATTTATTGCGTGCAATAATAGTTGCCTCACACAGCTTGGAATCTCGGTAAGCTCGCTACACGGCAACCATCACACTACATGTCATATTTAGTGACGTCACAAGCTAAATAAAACGTTAAAAGGAATATCTGCGTACCGGTTCGGATAAAACGGCTTGCCTGTACCGCTGTAATTTTAACTTCTAATATTACTACTTAGAAACTAGTTAATATGTTATTTGTTGTAGTGAAAATTGTAATGTTAAAAATAATTTTATCTTAAAGATACAATGAAGCCTTGTGAAATTTATAAGCTAATATGTAAGCGAATTTAGCTAGTAGACGAATTTAAGCAAACCTGGGTGATGTTTACCCTATATGTAACTTTGTAATAAAACTTTCGATATGTCTACAAACGTACAATGTTATACTGTTTTGTGGTTCGTAAAGTTAGAAATATCAAATATGTATTCTAAGCGGAAGCACTGCATTTAGTTTCATCTAATAATTCTTATATAGTCCAATATCGAGTAAAGGACTTTAACGCCTAATAAACATCTGCTTTTTATCTCTATATCGTTTGTTATGTTAGTTAGCTTTAAGGTTTTATTCTCAAATAAAATAAATACCCATATAAAGCAGCCAATTTTAAAAAAAATTAACACAGTAATAATGAATAACTCTATTAAAAATTAACAAGATAAATGGGATTCCGCCGAATCAATGTATCAATGTCGAGTATAAAATTTTATATCATAAACCGAATGTACGAATAGGTCTTTTCGTCTACAAAATATAGTATAGGCATAACAGCATTTATAATATCAGGTCCTGAGACACATTTATTTATGTTAAATATAAATTCAAATTAAAAGTCAAAATTTCTTTATTCAACATAGGCTTTTTTTAAGCTCTTATTAAACGTCAATAACTACCACCGGTTCACTAAACTAGACCTGCAAGAGATTAACCGGCAAGAAACTCTGCTGTCATATTTTTTTAAAATTATTTAAGTGTTAATTAAATTATTTTAGTATATTTTTTTTAAATTATTTAAGTATATACAAAAAAATATTTTAGTATAATTTAGCAGGAGCCACGGGACTTGCAAGTGCAGAGCAAGTGTCATTTCCACACATCCTTGTCCTCAATGTATTCTTCGACATTATAATAGGCGCTTTCCATTAAGGTGGCTTTTAGAAAATGTTTGAAATTATTTACACTTAATTGTTTGTGGATGTCACCTATTCTATTATATAAGCTAATACATCTACCAAGAAATGATTTCCAACGTGCCACCACGGTCCCGACGCTATGTGGTATGTTTTTTTTTGTATATAGGTGTATTTTATTTCGTACATACATAATGTTCTCAAGTATGTATAGCGACGGGAGCGTTAAGATGTTTATTTGTTTAAAAATATGCCGAATGGACTCACGTGGACCCAGACCATAAACAGCCCAAATTAAAATGTTCATCCAATTACGCGTGTAAAATTTAAATGTAATGAAAGCAGTTTTTTTGTAAATACCAAATGTATATGTGCAAAAATATTAAACATCGATAGCAAATGCAGTAAATATTTTGAAAGGTGAAACAAATTCATTATCTCCATACATATTATTGTTTACATCACTTGCACTATACATGCTTACGTTTCACTTATTGTTTTTAGCTAATATTAAATGTAATTGTTTACTTTGATTTAAAAGAAAAAAGTAAGTTTGAATCGCGATACGATAATTATTCTCCAATTTCGGTTCTTGAGTAGGTAATGAACTTTATCCTTTAACGACCTTTTTTACCTCTAAGCAGCGGTTCAATTTCTCAAAGTTCAAAAATATTTTCTCTTAAAAATAATTTTGCGCATTTTTAAATTTCATTTAGGCATCCATATATTATATTTATTTGTCTTTGATAAGTAAACGTACGAAAAGGAAAGGTTTACGGTCACCTTCTCACTTCAAATTAGCTGAAAAACGTAAGCCATGCTAGCGTAGCCGGGCACAGTTCTACTTTATATAATATATTATTGATCGATTTTGATCGATAATTTTAGATCGATTAACTAGTACAGTGATTATAACGTCGGATTTGCAGTGGTAAACTCGCACCAGAGATGTGCACTAGTTCGTTCCACTGTTTCACAATACCCACTATCACACACGGGGTTGCCACCTTCCAGTTTTAAGGCTAAAAATTCATGGCAACTGTCTCTGTCTAGCACTTTAGGGTCATTCGGTGTAGGCACTTTGATCGTTCTTCATACTACAAAAGTCGGCTAACGAGGCATTAAGTTAATTTACTTTGAGAGCGTCACCCAAATGCTCGCGGCCGTGGTAGGCCCTGATCTCGGTGCTGGTGTCGATGTGCGCAAGGTCCGTCGCCACACCGAGCACGCACTTGTCGCTCTCGTCGTCGTAAAGCGCCAACTTCTTAACCACTCTCTGCTGCTTTAAGAAGAGGGCCGCGATACGGCCGACGTCGCTACCGGCGCCAATTATCGTCACCTGGCCACCGAGACGAAATTAATCTTTATTTATATATATAAGAGATTTCCACCGATAATTGACTCATCACGATATCTCTGGAACCGTAAGGCGTAGAGACTTGAAATTTGGTAGGAATATTCCTTACGCCAAGTAGAGGTCAGCTAAGAAAGTTACGAAATGTTAAATTGCACGAATAGGCAGGCTCGTCCGGGTAAGTACCACAAAAATTATCAATTATTATTAAATATTTAAATATATATAAAGATGTATACTTGTATAAATAAATAACAATTAGCTTCGTCCCATCAGCCTCCTCAGTTGCCTGGGGAAGCTCTACGAGCGGCTGTTACTAAGCAGGCTCAAAGAGCACGAAAATCACCCGAAACACCATTCGTGTAAGAGGACCGAAGTACCCTATCATAAGATGAGGAGAGATACAAGAATTTGTTTTTAAAGTAAGAGGGAAGAACAATTATTTAAAATGGAGAAAAGCACAAGCAAAATTCTGGACTGCCGCCTTTGCCGAATAGTAAGCCAATTAAGTTGAGATCGATAGGAGGATATGTGGTCATAGTTGCGTAAGCCGAAAATGAACCTGACACAGTAATAAACTATATAAAATAAATGATTTTAACGAAACCTTACGATAATATAGCTTATACATCAGAATAAGACATAGGCTATAATTTATATACCTACATATTTTATGTATATCTGTCTTTCTGTCTGAATGTTACGCCTTCAGCCTATTCTACGCAGACGTAGTCGCGGGCAGCAGTTAGTAATAAATAAACTAACTGGTACCCGATACTTTGCTTCTGCAATACCCAGTACGACACACACGCCACCAATTGTAAGTTAATTAAACTATGACCTTCCTACAAATGCATGCATTTATTTGACAAAGTGTTGTCGCGATCAGCGCATAAAATGCGACCAAATAAACAGTGAGCTTTTTATGTGAGATATCAGTTCGCACCGAATACCATCGAATTAAATTTATACACGCTAACCTTTTGTGGCGGAATCCGTGGCACCGCACAGTATCTTTCACAGTCCTTTTCGATTTGCTCCAAAACATCAGACATCACATAGTTCTGGTATGTTGCGTTTTGCATTATCATCCAGTTTTTCGTTACTATTCGCTTACTTATATTTCGGAACATGTTAGCTGTGGTCGATTGCGGAAACAAAAATTTTGAAAAGTTATAATTATGTTTGCATTTAAATTACTACATTTAAAAGACTGTTTTTTAGCGTTTCGGTGTTATTGAGCGGGCGGGAATTGACAAATAGAGACAACAAGAAAGAAATTGTCATGCGGATGTTGACAATGAATTATAAACCTCTCCATGAAAAAGAAAAATAAAACAACTGATTCTATTGCCTGGTAATATAATTGTTTAATAAATTCTGTGCCGTTTTTTTTCTTTTTGCGAGGGCTTCATCTCCGCTCATTTTTAAAATTAACTCTAATATACAATCATATACCCTTATCGTTTAGTAAGTATTCCATGTTAGTTTATATTTATTCACCATTTTATTGGTAGAGCCACGGTGCAGCTTCGCAGCTTCACGAATGGGTTGACTTTCATCCGGGAAAGTACTACGACAAATATTGTTATTACATCTTAGCACATATGTATATTTAGATAAATAACAGATTGGATTACTTATTAATCCCACAGGACCCTTATTAATCGATCTTCGTCTTAACGTATACTCAGCCGTAGGTTTGTGGCCACCGCAATGTATTTTCAACGATCTTGCTGTCAACTAGCCCAGGCGATGTATCGATTATTGATATCGGTCTAATGCGATTGACATACAATTACCTTAGTTTTCATTCGCCTTTAAACTATATTGCATACGACTACCATTGCTCGTTCAAGCAGCCGGCATAATGCCTAGTTGGTATATACAAATAATGGTGTATTGGATCCGGCAGAGGGCTGATAAGTGCGCCCTAAGAGCTGAATGAACAGGAGTGCAGTGATGCGATATTTGCAATCGCATGACTGCACACCCGTGATGATCTGATGTGTTTCGTTTTGTCGTACATGCGACGAACTGTACAGATCACAATGTCCACTCGAAGAGTGATATTTTGCTGCACCAGGAACCTGCGTTTCTTAGTGACGTAACGGTGCGCCCGACGCTCTAACCACCAATCACTCCGATCACCGACCAGTTCTCCTCCGGCTAGGGCCTTCAGCAACAGCCGCTCCCCTAACCAAAACTGTCATCAGCTGGCATAAAATCAAATCTAAATTTAACGAACCTAATCCTCCACAACTAGACACAATCCCTAGAGAATTAAATACCAAACAGGACACGGAAACCGCAAGTCGAGCCCTCACAAGCCACGTCAACACCGTCGTCGAGCAATGCTCGAGACAGGTCCCGGCGATGGAAGACCATCGCTGGGCCCTGCCAGACGATGTGCGAGACTTGCTGAGACGCAAGAATGCGGCCACTCGAGCCTATGATAGATATCCCACCGACTCGAATCGTAGACTGCTACGTAAATTGCAGCGTGAGGTCAAAACACGCATAGCAGACTCACGAAACGAAAAAACCATCCCACGTAGCTTTCTGGAAACTTCCCAAATCCCTCAAGGGTAACGGCATAACAACCATGCCGCCACTAGTCCGTCCGATTGGTATGCCAGCAATGCTGGACGAAGAGAAGGCCGAATGCCTGGCTGACAGCCTAGAGTTTCAATGCTCCCCCAGTCTGCTTCCGATCGACCCCGAACACCTCCGCAAGGTGAACGAAGAGGTAGAAAGGAAAGCTTTAGAGCCACTCCGCGATCCCGTTCCCCCGGTCACGTGCCTAGAACTAGTAGAGACCATTAAAAAACTACGCCCCCGTAAAGCACCAGGCTCAGATGGAATCACCAATAAGGTGACCAAGCTCCTCCCTACTAGCATCCTTCAGATACTAGTATTAATTTACAACGCGGCCTTAACCGAAGGCTTCTTCCCATCCGAGTGAAGGAAGCCGATGTCATAGGGTTCCTCAAACCCTCTAAACCCGCCACTCTCCCAACCTCATATCGTCCAATAAGTCTTCTCAAAACATTTGGGAAGATCTTTGAAAGACTAATATTAGCCCGCTTAAGATCCCTTATGGACACCAAAGGGCTCCCCATCCCAGAGCAGTTTGGATTCAGAGCCAAACACTCGTGTACCCACCAAGTGCACCGCATCACGGAGCACATATTAACCAAACGCCAACGTGGACTCAACACCGGTGCACTCTTCCTGGACGTGGCAAAAGCGTTCGACAAAGTCTGGCACAACGGGCTCGTATACAAGCTATACGGGTACGGAGTGCCTGACCGTCTCGTATGCATAATACGAGACTTCCTAACGAATCGAACCTTTCGCTATCGCGTCGAGGGCGTGTGTTCGACTACGCATCCCGTTCAAGCCGGGTCGCCCCAAGGGTCGGTGTTGGGCCCAGTCTTGTTCACCCTCTACACCAATGACATGCCGCGTGTCAAAGATGTAGAACTTGCTCTTTTTGCCGACGACACCTGTATCTATACCACAGGCAGAACACCCGAATTGATCCATCGACGCCTCCAAGCTGCGGCCATCACCATCGGTGACTGGTTTCGGCAATGGAGGATCGAGATCAATCCCGCCAAAAGCGCGGCCGTCCTTTTCGCGCACAAAAAGAACATACCCTACCACCCCCAGTTAAACTCTTGGACAGCCCAGTACCATGGGTTAATAAAGTCAAATATCTAGGCGTCGTCCTCGACTCCCAGCTTAAATTCACCCAGCACGTGACCCAGGTCAGGAACCGGGCGGCGTTCGTACTCGGTCGCCTCTACCCGCTCCTCAATAAAACGTCTAAAATGTCCCTACGGAACAAGGTGACCTTATATAAGGCAGTAGTTCGCCCTATCATGACGTACGCGAGCCCCGTCTTCGCTCACATTGCTCCGAAGCAAATACACCGGCTTCAGGTGATTCAAAATCGATTCTTGCGTAGAGCCACGGGAGCACCCTGGTTCATGCGCAATATCGACCTACATGTCGATCTAGAATTGCCCACCATCGCGCAATTCCTGAAGTCGGCGTCGCGCCGATATTTCGATTCCGCCGCCGCGCATCCCAACCCACTTATCGTAGGTGCCGTCACCTACAGGCCCTTGCCGCTAAATATTTTCCGCCGCGATTACCGAAGACCGCGTCACGTTCTCGACTTCCCTGACGATGAGACGACTATCGCCATCGAAAGGATCAAAAAACTCAAGAAACACACCAACACACACCTAAAAAATATACTAGGTTCCGCCACGTACCTGGCAGGTTTTCCCCTATTAATGATAGAAGCGTTGCTGGAGTTTCTTCCGCCACTTCTTCTCCCAGCGCCAACGCTCTCCGAAGTGGTAGTAATGTTAGCTGTAGTAATTCCCCCAGTCAGATAATAGCTACCGATCGAGCCGAGGTCCGGCCCTCTCGGGCACCCTCGAATCGGAATGCTAAACGCGTGCTGAGTGACAGCCCAAGCCGAGGTCCCCTCTCGGGGACCCTTGAGCCTGGTCACTCCATGGAGCGCCCGCCAAAGCGCCCTAAGAGCTTGGCGGCCTCCCAAACCGGTGATAATAATAGCGTGGCGGCCCGAGCCGAGGCTCCCCCGGGAACCCTCGAGCTTAGTCACCATAACGCGTAATAATAGTACGCAGAGGTTCAGGCTAGGCGCCTCGTTCGCCAGGCCACCTCAAGTCCGTCGGATCTGTAAAGGCCCCTAAGGCCAACAGTGGCTCATCCAGCCCAAAAAAAAAAAAAAAACCACCAAGTTAAACACAATACAAACAAATATATTGCTTTATACTTTTATACTTGGCTGATTCGGCAAACGTGGTTTCGTGGAATTTCGTAAAATCACTAAGTCAGTAAGTCTCTACGCTATATGGTTCCAGAGATATCGTGATCTGAGGTGGAAATCTCTTATATATATATATATATATATATATATATATATATATATATATATATATTAAAATAAATAATACATACATACAGCCGCAATACCTCATTGTAAACATCGAGGAGGAAACCTGCATATTTTCAATTAAAAAAACACCTAATGAGACGTTTTATTTGAAAGTTATCATTTACAGATGTTAATTATTGATTATAATTTTACTTTAACTCTTGGATTTTTGGGTTTATTGCGTTGCAAGTGTTATCGCTTTTATAAGTGCGTACCCATATAAAACGCGCATTAAAAACGATAGCTTTTTTAACGAAGGTTGTCCCTTGGTTAACCCATTATCGAAACGCAAAAGTGAGGTCGTTGTACTTGTCTGACTATCCGTCTCAGTATTGCAGCGTGGATATAACAAATAAGTAATTTGCAAACATATTGTGTGTGCAAAACAACAAACGCGTTAAATTACATTTACCATGATTGGTTGTCGTGTCTAAAAAATACAATAATAAACTGTAATAAACAGTTTAATTGGTGCCGCAAAGGAATTGAACTCTGGGGTTGCTCGAGTACAATGAATTAAAAGCGAACGCTCGGACATCGATCTATCGTAGCTCTCAAAGTCGCTTTAATAATTAGGTTATTAAATAAAAGTACGTTTACGAGAGAAACGAGAAAAGAAAAAAACTTAAAGAACGAGATCGACGGATGCACCTCCGGACAAAGAATAACAAGTCGTAAATGGCTTTTATGGATAACAAATGTCATAAATGGCTGTAAAGTCACCGTTACTCTAATATTTAGTAAATCGATTTTTTAGAAAACTACTTGCATTGCCTTACACTTAATAATAGTACCAGTAGATATTACGTCAAGATATTCGAACGCGTCAGCAAGGCTACATCATTATAAAAGTCTCCTTACCATAATGGCATTCCATTATGAACAAGCTCAGTCCTACCCATCGACGATTTCGTGGAATCTGGCTATCCCATGAGCTTTGCGCTCGTATAAAGAGATTAAAAATAACTCCTAACTTAAATGAGTCACTCGAATCTTAAAGGGACTTACGGTAGACGGTTGAAATAGAAATTCAATTTATTTAATTAACTGCTTCGAAATGCATGGCGTATGTACTAACATACCCTTGATAACTACCAATTACTA